TAGCTAGCTCAGATATATATGTGTGTGTATGTTGTATATGTATGATTAATACGCGCAAAGAGAGACAGAGAGAGAGAGAGAGAGAAACCCCGCAAGTGCAGTTTGCAAAGAAGATTGTAGAGAATGAGGTTCTAGCGAGATGAAATGGAGGAGAACTTTATAGACAAACAACAGAGACAATATGAGGTATATATAGTCATGTGATGTTATTGTTTTTGGTCTTTTGGTAATTAAGCTGATCAGCTATACGTCATTTTCTTTCAACGAAGTCAGCATTGTGTATAATATAAAATAATACAAATTTAGTTATATACCAAATCTTAGACATAGTCTTATAAAGAAACTCTATACCATTTAAAAACTATAAACACACCAAAAAAAAAACTCAAAAATTGACAACTGTCAATTTTTTCAATTTAATAGCTATTTTTTAGTTTATTTGTGTGTGTAAAATACCTATATTGCCCTTGTACTATGGATTTCAGAGAGAAAAATTAGATTTGCCAAAAAACCAAATCAGATTCATTTTCTCCTTTCTCGCTGGTGCTTTCTCGGTGTTGGAGGAAGAGGAGCTTCCATTGAAGCTCAGTCTTAGGTCCAACTATATTCTTCATCTATGATCTACAATTTTCAATATTTCACCTTCAATTTCTTGTTCTAAAATCGTGCTTCTATTCATATACATATATTTTTTTTCCAGATTGTTTGGAACCTCGAACGAACCTCGATCAGATGCTCTTAGCTCTACTCCTCATCTTCGAGCTCTATCCTCTTTCGCCATGTCGTCGTCGTGGTTGTCGTCATCATTGTCATCGTTGTCGTCATCTTGATTGGACTTGAGATTTTTGATCTTTTGCTTCAATTATGTGTTTCTCTTCGGATTTTAGTTGATTTTCGGAATGTATTTTAAGCTTTGATGATCAATTTATCTTTTGTTACTATTTCAGTTATGGATCTCATTTTTGTTTAACAATGTACTTCTATGACAGAGTATTAACAATATACTTCTATGACATAATTGTATTAACAATCTAGGCTCGGCTTGTTTTGAGTTGGTCTGGTTTGTTCTTTCTTCATTTTTTCTTTGGTGGACATGTATTAGAAATAGCAACATGACAAGCATTAATCAACATGACAGTAAACTGGAAATGTTATTACCCTAGACTGGAACATTACAGGGGTAGACATGCATTAGAAATAGGATGTCATAGGAAACTAGCAATGTTATTACCATAGACTGGAACATTACAAGGGTCGATATGCATGTCATAGGAAACTAACAGTGTTATTACCCTAAACTAGAACATTACAGGGGTAGACATGTATTAGAAATAGGATGTCATAGGAAACTAGTAGTGTTATTACCATAGACTAGAACATTACAGAGGGTAAACATGTATTAGAAATAGGATGTCATAGGAAACTAGCAGTGTTATTACCCTAGACTGGAACATTACAGCCATTAATCAACATGACAGTAAAGGTGTGGAACATTACAGTCATTAATTAACATGACGCATTAATGAAGCTACGGTTTTCAAGACGTTTTGTTTGCAATGAATTGTTTGGGTTTTTTTTTATAAAATTGGGTTGGGCTTGTTTTGGGTGCTTTTTAAGTTTTTTGTGTTGGGCTTCTTTTAAGTTGATCAATGGCAGTCACGTAATTTACAAGAACTTCAACACAAATTTCTTATGCAGTAAATGAGTTTTGGTGTCTTTCTAAAGTGCATTCCATATGGGGTTTTTAAAATAAATAAATAAATTTCAGCCTCTATTTTGGGTATATTAATGAAATAAACACTACACAGACATTGCTGGAAAACGGCATTTTACACATTGTCGCTATTTGGAGCCATTGACCCCTAATAAGGATAGACAGACACGGTGTGGCCTAAAAGTGCAAGCCACGGACAAGCCACCATAGATCCCTTAATTACGTGTATGGCTTGATTTGATAAACTGGTGATCTTGTTAGAGGGGGGTTTTTCATACATACTACCAAGATGTCATGTGTTTGCGTAGATGGCTCGATACAAACCATACTATGTAAGTCCCATATATGTGAATAGAATAATAATCTACAATTGAAATATAGGTAATCCACTCCTAATTACACTAATGCTTTTTTAAGGTAAAACCCCACATGATTTGTACAAGTAGTGAAACTCCTATTGTGTCACCAAAACTTTCAACTCTTAATTCCCAACTAACTTATAATAAAGAAAGCCGAATATAATAATTGGGTTATGCGTGTGGGAGCATGAAAGCTGAATTTATTTTTTTAATAAACGCTTTGAATTTCTCCTTTTAATAAACGTTTTGAATTTCTCCTTGTCATGGAGAAATTATGGAATGGCACTATACTACCACGTCAACTAGTAGTTCCTTTCAAAATATACCGTGTGTCAATTTCAAAAAATTATAGTGTTTTTTTTTACAGCCGGACTTTTGCCCTCTAGAATAATATTTAAAAAACGAAAAAACCACAGACGCCGGAAACCAACTCCCACGACAACCCAAATCTTCCTACCTTGCACTACCAACCACCCAACCCAATCGCCCAAGGGTTTTGGTTGGCCACCTTGTTAATCTAAAACAAGAACCACATAAAGAAATCACTGGAAATAACAAAAACTGATTATTCCCTTTGTGGTTTCTGTTCAAATGATTATCAACAAACCCAAAAATAAATAACCAGCACACTACAGAAACCTGTCGAGTCCCTAAATGAGCTTGCTTTCTTAATTTTTATTTTCTTAATCCATGGACTATTGGGTTGGGTGGAAGAAGTGCGAGGATGGGGATTGGGTTGTGGTGGGAGGTGGTTTCCGAAGGCTTCTTTGGGTTCTTTCTTTTTTAAAATAAAAAAAATTTATTCTAAAGTTGAAAAGAAAGTATTGAATTCAGCTGTAAAAAATATGACACATGGTATATTTTGAATGAAAATATCACCAGCTGACGTGATAGTACAGTATCATTCTATCATGGGTCTGGGGCTTTGATTGATTGGGTATAGAGAGTAGAGTCCATTTCCTACAAACCTAATCACTTTTGGATTGTCCAATCATGTGTCTCCATCTCCATTGAGTTTGTGTGACTTTTGCAAGTTGAAGCCCGACACAAGTACCTATGCATGATGTGGGCAACTAATAGAAAAAAAGAGATTCATTATTATACCCAAATTATAAGAAAAATACCATATATAAAATGAACTTTAGAACACACCCAAATTCAATTTACAACATAACAAAGGGGCTTTGAACCTTTATATAAATTACAAAACTGCCATCAATTTCTTAAAATAAGCCAAACCTCAAAACCTCATAATAAAACCCAAAACACTCAATATGGCATCAAAGTAATTTAATAATCAAAATTAAATTCAATAAGACAAGTTGTTATTTTTTTTATTTGTTTATAAAAATTAAATAGTATAGGGTTTATCTATATCATTAGCGCTAGGAATGAGTATATAATTAAATATCTCATATAAAAATCAAACCCATCACTAAATGCGTATAGATCAGGAAGTCAACAATATTGCACCAAGAAAAATAAGAAAAATAATTGCCTTAAAAAAAGTGTACAAAAACAATTAATATTATAACTACATTTAACAATTTTTGGTGCATTATTATCTCGCCTCAATTTTTGGTGCATTATTATCTCGCCTCAATTTTTGGTGCATTACATTTATAATTCAAGCTTAAAGGAAAGATAGAAGCAATTAAGTCAATGTGGACGTGCACAAATATTAGCCAAAGGAAAACCAAGTCTTACCACTCAAAACTCCTACCCACCAAAGTTCA